TATCTTTTAAATTTTATCATGGAACTGGTCATGCGCAGAACTCATGTGAATCGTGTAGCACAATAATTTAGCACAATGCGTTCAGCTCTGGGCATATACTACTACTGCTGATATTATTGATATCGAAAAGAAATCTGCGTAAATGGGCTTAACGGTGAATTAAAACATAATATTATATGTAACTATTACCAACACGGAGGGTCTTCCACGGAGGGCTATCTGATTATTAGCGACCATACTTACTCTGTGTGTTTTTAGTATTCTTTTTAGTCTCCTACGAGTCGACGATGGCTATCAAATGGACTACTCATAAGGTTTATCCCGACGTTGGCATATACCGGATCGAAATTCACTGATTTTATCATTTTGTGAACCCAGAAAACGATTCTAAATTCTGTTGCTTAAACTACTTCTAGAAGTAGCAAACGTGGGAGAACACAGTATCTTCTACTCCACGGAGGGCTATCCGATTACTGGCGACCATAGTAAGTATGGTCTGTGTTTTTGGTACACATTTTAGTCTCTTACGAGTCGACGATGACTATCAAATGAACTATGAACTCTATAAGCCTTATCCCGACGTTGGCATTTACCGGATCGAAATTCACTGATTTTATCATTTTGTGAACCCAGAAGACGATTTTAAATTCTGTTGCTTAAACTACTTCTAGGAGTAGCAAACGTGGGAGAAAACAGTATCTTCGGCACTAACCGCACTAAGAATCTGAGACTAGAGATAACATAAATAAAACAGAGGTGCATAGCAAGGAACGCAACGTAATTAAACACGTTATGTACATACTTTCTAGAAGGTCTAAGTCAACTAGAAAACCTTCCCTTAAAAACCATATTCTGTTTAAAGGTTTGAACTGTTAAAGGTTCAAAATCTTTTTATATTAAAAAGGTGCATTCTTAGAATCACCATCATAATTTGCCTGCTAAGGTAACCTAGTGAATTTAGTTATTGTGTACCATAAATAAAGTAAAAATATCGAGGTGTCCTGTTCAATTTTATAGGAAATTTTATTTAGTGATGTCAGCAACATATAAAACGTACTTCTACAAAAATTTTATAATTTTTTCAGAAATTTATTCCTTCGTAAATTGATCTTTACATCTCTTATATCAATTTCATTAAGCCCAACCAAATTGGTAACCAAATAATCAACATAAATTAATTTTTAATTATACGCTGCCAGAGATTGTTAATACGAAACATCGACTTTCGTTTTTCATCGAAATTTGGTGCAATTAGTTTGAGACAAAACTTTCCGAAATCTTAATGTTAAAGACACAGAATTCGATCTATATTTAATGCAAAAAAAATTTGACTCTCTAAGATATGCAAAGCCATCACTTAGTTCTTTTTTTGTTATTAAATAAGTGCAACTCTTACTTCCCTGCACTGCATCATTGCGTCACTGCGTCACAGCGTCACTGACAACTGATATTAAGAAGCAATTTTTTAAGATAAAAGGAATTTTTATTTAAATTTTGATATTCTGAAAATAAAATAAAAACCAAATTTTAAAAATTAAGTGAAGCTGAATTTTTCACAAGGATGTAAGGACGAACAATACCGCTGTTGGCTTTATAATTGAAAGTCAAGTGCTGAAACTCAATGTTGAATGCAGATGACGCGTGTTTAAGCTGCAAAATTTCTTTCATTTTATGTTTTTATTATATTGTATTTTTTTTCTTATTTGGTATGGTTTTGATGATGTTGACATTTGATAAGCACGCGAAAAACTATAATGTATAAAGCGAAATATTGTACTGAACGTATTTACTTTGGGTACTTCACGGAACCTTTAATAAAGAACAACAAGTTAACAAAAGGAAGCAGTTTTGTAACCTTTCAATATTGCACTTACCAGTGCGATTAGATTTTGGTCTACATGGTTTACGACGTGCGTCCTGAGAGGTTGAACTTGTATTATCGTGCGTCTCAATCGACATAGCTTCATCGTGTTCTATTATTTGTGCTTTAATAGTCTTTCGCATATTTGTAATCTACAGGAATATATATATATATAAATGTATTAAGAATTAAGTGGAAATCAAGCGTAACTATTATTTTATATATTATTTCACTTACCTCTTTTTCAACGCGGAGCTTGTTTTGCAAACATTTTGCCTTTTCATTATTGGCAGCCTCAACCTGATTCTCAACATAAGTCAAAGTCTTGTCGCAAGAATCAAGCCAACCCTGCAGAATTTTCTCAATTTTTATTAGATAGTCTGGTGGTATATCGCGGCCCTGAGCAAATTCAACCTCAAACATGCGTTCATTTTGAAACAACTTTCCTCGTATGATATCTGAAATAATAAAAAAGACTCATGTATATTTTATTTATGGTATATAAATATTGGAAAAATCAATTGAATCAAGTCATTTCGATACAATTTTCTACAGACACACCTTACAAAATCTAACTGTGCTCCAACAATTCTTCAGAACTCGAAGCACACAATATAAATTTCATATTTTTTTCATCCAATTATTGAGCCATAAAAATCTATTCCACTTCAGTTTGATGGTTTGGTATTTTAATTGAAATTCGAAAATATGCAATAGAAAACCAAACTTTTTTTGGATTGATAGCCGATAACTATGAATTGATGTTTGTGGTATGGCGTTCTTATAACAAAACTAGAGAAATTGTGTGATTCAATATTTTTAAAAAGTGAAGGATTTTGAATGTTGATTGAGAACTATATTCAGCTAAAGTAGCACTCTGTACTCGCAATAATTCAGTATCAGCTTTGAAATTTTATACAGACAACAGAAAATATTTTTTGGTTTGTGGTTTTTTATATTTAAAATTGCCAATATTTTCTAACAACGTTCAAATTATTTATTTAGAAGGGTTTATTACTTGAATGCAAAATCCCATCTTTAACTTTAACTGCTCTAAAATATATATTATAAGTTAGCAGATAAGTACACCCGTATTGCTATAATTGGTACCATTTTTATATATCTGATTGCTTTCTTATTAATAAAAGAAAATGCTTCGTATTATAATTGAATATTATTATTACAATACGTCGTAAGCAGAAGATACATTCACAATTAGCTAAATATTGATAATTATAATGATATGATTGTCTCCTATGATTGAATAACTACAGTCACTACTAAGATTAAATCACAAATACTCACGAATAACATCAAACATATAAACACATTAGATACTATGAGATACCATGACATTAGATACTACACTGCATTCAAAGTTACTTTGAATAGAATAGTTTTTATGAATAGAATATACGAATACTCGCAAAATCGTTAAGGTTTAGCAAAGCTTTTAGAGAATTTAATCATTTGCTCGTACTATTAGCCAAAATTCCGTGAAAATAATTTAATAACCTTTTAAGTATATTTTTTAGTTAAAGTTTCTTAAGATACACGTCGAATATCACACAATAGAGACATGGCAAGAAAAAGAACTCAATTTTCGCCGTATTCACATTTAATTCAAAGGAATCGTTCTCAACTTACATATAATTGATATATAATTGTAAATCGTAATGTGTCTAAAATAAAGGTTCATTCAGTAATTCAGGTGGTAATTCAGTAAAACGTATATTTCTAATAATTTAATACAACCTCGTACCGGAGCTAATATTCATGTTTATAACTTTTTTGGTTGAATACAAAATACAGACTTTGATTTAAATTCTATTTACACGTACATCTAATATAGAACTTTATTTAGCATATTTTCGTACTCTTGAACTTCGAACTTAGTATTATTTAATGTTAAAACTGACCTTTTGCGACTAGAATAAATTTAAGAAAATGTTTATTTAAGTCACAAGATAAAAGCTGGAGAACTAATTTAGTTACCATTAAAAATAAAGCAGAATCTGTTAAATACACAACAAATATTTAAAACTTCATTTATTCATAACTCAAATTAAAATTTTTATAAAATTTAAATTAAAAATTTTTCTGTTCCACTTCATTTTGCTATTTAGTTCTCTCAAGAGCAGAAGGCAAATGCAATATACTTTCTTATTGCATTTATGCACAGACAAATATGCTTTTAAAAATAATATTTATAAAAATAAAAAGAATCAACAATCGTAACTAATGAAGAAAAATTGCAATTCAAGACATTTTTTCTCCTCCTCTTTATTATTTCTTTATTATTTTCAAGATATACGACAAATTCTCGGAGCACAAAGTGTCAAAATTGGACGCAACGAGTCAATTTGTGTAAAGTCACAACCCAACAGACATGATAACCAAGTACAACATAATAGAGACATTATTTAATCATCATTATTACCGCCAGCTCACGTTAATCATTGTCATCATCGTTATCAACGCCATCTTCATTATCGATTATTTTTAACTCAGGACACAACTGAGTTCACTTGGCACAAATGGAGCTCTTCGTTAATGTGGCGTCTGTGACAAAGCATCACCAGAAGAATTTACGCCCGAGAAAATTGAAAATTGCTGTTATAAAATCGAGATTTTCACTTGTTTCCCCCCTCCGATCAGCTAGCTTTGTAATTTATTCTACTTTCCATTTCAATTTCGAACACTGCACTGCACTTATTCGATTTAAGACTTTCGTTCTGTAGCGGTTACTTTAACGTCGATAAAGTATTTGTCGCGTTGAATTTTTTATTTTAATTTGCATTTAACAATTTGCATTTAACAATGACAAATAAACTCAACTGCATTGTTTAACGCAAAATTAACGCCAACAAATTGATCTGCGCTGCAGTCGCAGATATGCAAGTATCTGCAACTTCAGTCGTAATTTAAGCAAAATAAGTAAAACGAAATAATTGAACAAAAATTCCCTTGAAAAAAATTAATTTTTTAAGTTTTAATAAATTTTACTCCAGATTAATAAAGTTTATGCGTCATTAAAATAATTTTTACTTTTATTTTTTTAATCTATATTCCACTGAAACCAAACTGCTTCAGTGACATATATATGTCATACAGAACTGTTAACCAAGGCAACATATGTTTAGTTTAAAGTACGATGTTTTATATTATATGGATCGTTTAACAACCGTTGAACATATTCCAATCAATAAAACTTGCTATAAATAGAGAAGAATTTTCTTAACGATGAGGTTCATTCTGTTGAATATATGAACAAAATGTATTGGCAACAAGCTGGCATTCAGGGCAGTAAAAATCCTAAATCCTGCTTTCACTAAAACTGACTGCATCTTGTGCAACTCAGGTTTTGATTTGACAGTGTGATGATAGGTACACACAGAAATCCTTAATTCTAATTACTATAGCTACATTAAAAACTACACTGTTTTAATTTTTTGCATCAGACAATTTCCCTGATTTGATGATGTGAATAGGAGATCAAGATGATGCAATGCTCCAACACTGAACTATTTTTGTAGGGTTACGAAAAAGATCATACTAAAGCAACTATATACCAATTCTAAACACTTTGAAAACAAATATTCGCCGAGTTATTGCCAGTTATATTCCGGCAAGTCATCGAAAATTAACTCAAAATGATCAAGTACTGCAAAATGCGTCATGGAGAACATTTAAATGATGTTGTCGTAAATATAACACACTTATTTTACTTTAAGAACTGTAAAATGGATAACTATACAATATTTATACATTAAATTTAAAATTGAGCTTTTGTCAGACTTCAATATTATATATCGAAATACTTATTAAAAATTACTTGATTTAAGGCATACTAAAGAGTTTCAAGAATTTATTAAAACAGTTCTACAAGTAACTATATACTTTATTTTTTTACTTTCTCAAAACTTCTGTAAAATGAAACACACAATTTTATAAAGTTATAAAGTCCATAGTTTTAAAGTATTAATCAAATAAGCTACTTAATGGTGTTCCTTCTTTAATGCATTAAATTGTTGTCCATTTTGGTTTATTTATACTCGACTCTTAACATAATTAATTTTTGCTGTTTTTACCAAATAGAAAAGTTTATAAAGCAATTTTATTTAACATTAAATAATTACAAATTTCCTTAAGGTTGCAATTAAACATTGTGTAGTTATAAGTTAAAATGTTTGCATAAAAGTACAAGACTAAGCAATTTTATGGAAACAACAGAGCTATTGTAATGCTAAACAATGCAAGTATGTACCAATTGCGTGCTACATACAAGCACTTTCCTGCAGTGTAAATAAATCATAGCTCACACTGTTCAGAGCACGAAACTTCAAAAGAAATAACAAAGAAAAAAAAAACAACAAAGGAAATTGCAAGTTTAAACTACAACAAAAGTTTATTATGAAATGCAATTATCGACCTTTTGAAGTATAAAACAGTTTGAAGGTACAAAAGATATACAAATGCTGACTTTCTTTATTGCAAATGTTGAAATCTGGTATGCAAAATGAAAATAAAAGATTTACAAAAGCAGAAGTGGGAAGAAAGGTCAGTTCTATTGAGAGATGAATGGTAGTCGTTACCATACTCTATGGCTATATATCAAACATGCATAATATTTTTGCTTCGTATATGACATTTAATGTTCGAAATGCTTAATAAAATGATTGTATTCTTTTTTTTTGTGTGATTGTCAAAATTTGTTTAATGCCATGTCATAATTCTTTTATAGACATACTTACGCTAGTACTTCATTGTGGCGTCTGACAGCTGCAATTAAATAATGATATATGTATCAGGATTAAAGTGCCTTTAAAGTGCTTGTGAACCAAGAAAATAAGTGAGCATTAAGCAGCTTATGACTACTGTGACTACTGTGACACTGTGAATTAAGTTCCTTATTCGGAGCAGTCGGAATTTACATGTCCGAACATGCACTTCACTAAACCATTTATAAAATACAAATAGGACTTCACCAGCTACAATACCGATGCTTATCAACTCGACCAATATAATTGTATCTTATTTTTTTTTTTCTTGGTTTTTGTATCAATTACTGCAAATATTAAAGCTTCTTTTACCACAAAATATTATACAAATTTGTAATTTTGTGTTAAGAGCCTGACAGTTCGTGTCCTCTCAAATTCTAGGACTTTCATTCCGCTACATTAATTTGTTTCAGTTTCCATTTCAATACAGATTTCCACTTATTTTTATTACTTTTATTTTTTTATATTTATATTTATTTTTATTTTCATTTTGTGCTCCAATATTTTTGGCCATTTTGTTTCTAGATGTGTATTAAAACTTTTCATTTTCAAAATTCTAAGAAGAAATCTTGTACTTAAGTCGCAATTTAGAAGATTGTTGGTTCAATTATTTGGATTGCTTGCAAAATTTAATGTTCCATTAATTTTTTTCTAAAGAATATAAAAACTTTATTGTGATTTGAGTGTAGTGTACATTTTTTTTTTTGAGTTGCGAATATCATAAATTGAGTATTTAAAAACAGATAATCCGCTGCTCTTTACTCAATGTATAGTAATTGAACATTTGTATGTTTTAATAATAACATTTACCTATACAATATTTATTTATATGTATATGCAATCA